CGCAAGGCCATGCCGCCTCTGCTGGGGCGGGAACGGAGCTCAGCTCTCTCCCCCGTGAGCGGGGGTTTCTGAAGAAAATCTCTTTTCCCAGCTTGAACAAAGGCCCGCTTTTGTGTATCTTTGTGTATCTCCGGTGTTCTTGTCAAAAGAGGAGGACAGGCACAGAGGCCCGCGGGGACAAGGCCACGGGATGACGGAGGCGGAGGCTGGAGAGGCGCCGCCGGGGGCCCCCAGCGCCGGGGAGAGGCCTGGAAGGCCGCTCCCTCATGTCCCTGGCCGGGAGCCCACCCTGGGGACACCACCGCTAGCTCAGCCTCCAGGCCTCCGGAACCGGGAGGCCACACGTTTTTGGGGCTTCGGCCTCGCCGAAGTCTGTGGTGCTTGGTCACGGCAGCCCCAGGAGACACGGTAAGCCCCTGCCCGTGCCTTGCTGGGTGGCCGTGTCAACAGCGAGCTCTTCCCTGCCACTGGCACAGAAGAAAACCAAGCTGCGTTAACACCCGAGCGACTGTGTGGGAAGACGTATTCTGTGTGTATCAAAGGAATGCGTGCAAATTATAAGCATTTAGGAAATATATTAACATGTAAGGGAAACTTCTCATTACTGGCCACCCAGCTACTCACGTCCCTCCAAATGTTAGCAGGGTGTGCACTCAGAGCTTTTACTTCTCTACTGGGGTCACGCTTTATCCATAAGTTTGGCACCTGGCCTGTTCACACCAACATGCTATAAGGCATGTTGCGTGTGAGATGTTCGAAATGCCAGCTGTGCCGGGCCACGTCGTTACATATGCAGCCTCTTATCTTACCCCGACCTTTGGCAGCTACAAACGATGAAGTGAAGCGCCTCTCCAAAGCCAGAGTCATCGTGAGTGCCCGACTCTCTCTTAGGGTTACACACCAGGGCTGAGGACGCTGCCTACGGGCTTGCTCCATCCCAGCAAATGGCCCCCTTGGAAGGGACGGCATTGCAAGGCCTCTGTCCTGCACCTTGCCGGCAGAGCGCTCACCTAGGGCTTCGTCAGTTGCCATTTTCAGATCACTTTTTGCTTGCTGTTGGACTTGGTGTTGTTTTAGTTACCGATGAGGGCGAAACACCTTCTCACTGTGCTTACTGGTCACCCGCACTGCTCTCGTGCGTTGGTTGGCAGGAGGGGGAGCGCGCATAAACACCAGAGAACGCCACAAGCTCCAGGAGGAACGGGGTTCTGGTTTGTGCATCAAGGGGCCGCAGCCAATAGGGCAGGCAGGCTGGTTCCCTCCCAAGAGTAATCCGACCAGTTGTTCTGGAAGCTCAACCTAAGTAAAGCCGAAAAGGAAAACCTTCGAATGCCTTACTTCCGGGCAAATGGTATGGTTTTAAATCCTTGGTGTCTGGTATACGGTCAACCCTACACCGTGCTACCAGAGGAGGAAGGAGGCAGGGCGGTGGGTTCTTCCAGCTCCCAGGCACTGCTGCTGCATTTGCCCTCATCTGTGTGCTCTGGAGGATGTCCCCATACTGGGTGGTGTGGTGGCCCTGAAGAGATACGTGCATATCTCATGGGTGTGACCTTCTTTGGGAAAAGGGTCTTTCCAGATGTAAAGAATGCCGAGATGAGGAGATCATCCTGGATTATCCATGTGGGCCCTACATCCAGTGACTGGTGTCCTTTATGAGACAAAAGGGAAGACACAGACGAAGAGGAAGAGACTGTGTGATGACAGAGGCAGAGACTGGGGTGATGGCTCTATAAGCAACCAGCAGAGGCTGAGACAGAGGCCCGTAAATGACTCTCTTGGCGCCTGCAGAGGAAACCAGCCTTGCAGGATGTGGTGGCAGGCACCTGAAATCCCAGCTACTCGGGAGGCTGAGGCACAAGAATTGCTTGAACCCTGGAGGCGGAAATTGCAGTGAGCTGAGATGGCGCCACTGCACTCCAGCCTGGGTGTCAGAGCAAGACTCTATCAAAAAAAAAAAAAAGAAAGAAAGAAAGAAAAAGAAACGAAACCAGCCTTGCTGACAACTTGATTGCAGACTCTGGCTTCCAACACTGTGAAGGAGTTTCTGTTGTTTTCAGCCCCAAGTGTGCAGTGCTTTGTTACAGCAGCCACAGTCCACTCATACACCCTCCCTCCAAAAAAAAATGTAAAGTGCTCTTGTAGAAAAATTGCAAGATTAGGAATTAAGTGCAGCACCCGTGAGCAGAGAAGCTGTCTGTGCCTTTCAGTTTCCCAAGTACAATCTGATGGACACCTGGCTTGAAGAAGGGGAAAGATCACTCCCCGCCACACCCCACCCCCAGATGCTGAGAAAGCCCTCAGGCCAGGTTAATTTTTAGAAGGCTTCATACCCCAATTCTAGCCAGCCTCACACTGTCAAATAGCAGGAAGAAGCCCTGTGAGGAAGCCTCGGGGTGGATTCACAACATCCCGTTCCCAACCAGGGCAGCTTGGAGGAGGGCAGGAAGGCAGGCCCGGGTGCTGGGGAGTCAACTTCCAACTTTGTTTCCTTTGCTACAATTGCAGGGTTAATGCCCAGGGCTCTGACATCCTAGGAAATTTCCAGAATCTTGTAAAACAAGTAGAGTCGTCTGTTCTTCATAATTGGGGCCAGTGTAGGAAACGGCATCACAAACTTCTGGAATGTGATGAAACAGCCACCACCGGTCACACTGAGCAGCAACACTCTTGGTGAAGACAAGAGCATGCTTTGGTGTTGGAAAAAGAAAAGTGCTTGTGTGTGAAGCATCCTTCCATCAGACCACGAGGTGGTCATGACGACTCCAAACTCAAAAGTAGTAAAAGGGGAAAAAAATGGATAAATGTGACTACACAAAGAAAAAAAAACTTCGAGGCCGAGAAGCACAGTAGTTTAGCAGGGTGTGGTGGCCCGCGCCTGTGATCCCAGCTACTCGCAAGGCCGAGGCAGGAGGACTGCTGGAGCTCGGGAGATCAAGGCTGCGGTGAGCTCTGATTGTGCCACTACACTCCCGCCTGGGTGACAGACAGAGACCTTGTCTCAAAACAAAAAACAAAGAAACACTAGTAGCAAGGTCAAAGCAGGAAAAGATATCTGCAATTTCTATCACAGGCACAAAGCTAATCCTGCTCATGGACAAAGAGTTTCTAAAAGCTGAGCAACAAAAGACAACAACCCAGTAGACAAATGGATAAAAGATATGAGCAGCCCAGCGGGGCACCGTGGCTCACGCCTGTAATCCTAGCACTTTGGGAGGCCGAGGCAGGCAGATCACCTGAGGTCAGGAGTTTGAGACCAGCCTGGCCAACATGGTGAAACCCTGTCTCTACTAAAAATACAAAAATTGGCCGGGCACAGTGGCTCACACCTGTAATCTTAGCACTTTGGGAGGCCAAGGCAGGTGGATCACCTGAGGTCAGGAATTCGAGACCAGCCTGGCCAATATGGTGAAACCCCGTCTCTACTAAAAATACAGAAATTAGCCGAGCGTGGTGGCAGGCACCTGTAGTCCCAGCTACTAGGGAGGCTGAGGCAGGAGAATCGCTTGAACCCAGGAGGCGGAGGTTGCAGTGAGCTGAGATTGCGCCACTGCACTCCAGTCTGGGTGAGAACAGCAAAACTCTGTCTCAAAAAAAAAAAGGAGAAAAAAAAAAAAAAAAAAAAAATATATATATATATATATATGTATATACACACACACACACATATATACACATATACATACATATATACATATGATATGAGCAGCCCATTCACAAGCAGAACTAAAAAGCATCCTTAAGTCTCAGAAAAGATGCTGAAGCTCACACTTGACGGAGAACTGCATGGCCTAGCGAATGACAAAAACCCAAACGGGCTTTCCCACCTCCTCCTTGGCAAGGCTAGGGAAATAGCGGGTGGGGAGAGACGGGAGACCAAGCTCCAAGGAGGAAGGGGCTCAGGTACCATCTACCCCATCGCCCATACTCAGTGGTGTCACTTCTCAGAATCTATGCCAAAGATACGCACAACTAATGCACAAGGATTTTTACTACGCCATTATTTATGGTAACAAAAACATTGGAAACAACCCAAATGTCCATCAATAGTGACTGGTTAAATACACATCGGTCTGGCTGCAAAATGGAATAGCATGCAGCCCAAAAGGAGAGCACCCGTGTGCACGGTACGAGGGCAGCACTCCCAGGGCACAGCGGTGGGTGGATCGGTGTCCGTTGGGAGGAAGAGCTGCCACCCAGCTCTGCCAGGGGAAGCAGTTCTCCCTGAGAGCCCCAGGCCCCCATTCTTGACTTCCCCAGTGCGGGGTGGAGGAAGAGGGAGGGATTAGCCCGAGGCAAGTGGTTCAAGCAGACAGAAGGGAACAAAAAGAGCAGCGAGTCAGGCCTGATCAGGGCCGCATCTACCCTAAAAGAGGCGACCAGTGGACCAAGAGCTGAAGCGTAAGGCGCCGCGGCCAGCTCCTGGGTGGGGGTCCAGGTGGCATCCCAGTTGTGGTCACCCAGCCCTTCATCCTGGGCTAGGCAGGTGGGAGAGGAAAGCGCAGACTGCACGGTCCTGGGCACGTCCTCGGCAGCTAGTGGCCTTGCACTGGCCGGCCCTACTCAATGCACTCCATGACATGTATCTGCAGGGTGTCCATATCAGGGGCCTGATACTGGCACTTGGGACAGCAGAAGTCAGGTGGCTCCTCAGGGGGGCTCCTCCTCTGGCTAGGCAGGGCCAGGGGAGAGGAGAGGTAGGCTGGGAAAAGAGAAGAGTCAGAGGGAAGGGGAGGATGGAAGGGGACGGAGACTTGGCAGGACTGTCAATGGCAGGCCTGGTCTCACAGGCCACTCATGTAAAACCAGGAGCCGCCGATACCACGGCACGCCTCCCTTAGCCTCAGGGAAGGGGGTGGGCTACCGATGGGGTGGCCTATACGAGCTCCCGCCGTCAAGTCTCCGGAGAGCGACAGGAAGGTCGAACTGTGACCTCCCGCGGCGCAGCACCTGCCCTCCCCACCCACCTCCTCCCACAGGCCCAATGCTCACTCACTCACCGGGGGCGGGGGGCAAGGGGGCCTGGGAGACCTCAACATGCCGCTTCCTCATGTCCTCGATCCTTTGAAAACAGAAACCGTCCAGTCAAGGCACGCGTTTCTGTAAAGCTCCTTGGCTGGACTAGTGTCAAAGAAGCTCTTGGAAGCTCAGGTGAGAGGAGAGGGACCACAGTGAGCCCTAACCCAGAACACCAGGAGCCATCCGTCTCCTGCGGTCACCACTGGCGACCCCCCAGTGTCGCACCCACTGCTTACACGGGCACGTTCTCAGAGGCCCACCTGGCCGACTCCTGACAGCTGGCCTTCAGTTTGCTGTACTCCCTCTGCAGCTGCTCCAGCTGCTCCTGCAAGAGCTCCTTCTTCTCGGCCAGCTTCTCCCGAGCCTGCCTCTCAGCCTGGAAGTCCGCCTTGTAGATGTCCGCCTGGCAAATCCAACAGAAAGGGATGTGCCCGCCACAAGCCAGCCACCCACCAGGCACTGTGCCGCGCACCATAGGAACAAAGCAGAGCCCACTGCTGCCCTCCCAGAGACCCCAGCGGCGCAGAGGAAACAGACACGCCGGCGAGTAACGCCAAGCTCACCGAGAGGTCTAAGGAGCAGCACAAGTGGTTCAGAAGCTTACGAAAGGCCACTACAAAATGATGCCAAAGAGGCCAGGCACGGTGGCTCACGCCTGTAATCCCAGAACTTTGGAAGGCTGAGGTGGGCAGATCACCTGAGGCCAGAAGTTCGAGACCAGCCGGGCCAACACGGTGAAACCCTGTCTCTACTAAAAATACAAAAATTAGACGGGCGTGGTGGCAGGCGCCTGTAAGCCCAGCTACTCAGGAGGCTGAGGCAAGAGAATCGTTTGAACCCGGGAGGCAGAGGTTGCAGTGAGCCAAGATCGTGCCACTGCACTCCAGCCTGGACAACAAGAGCAAAACTCCGTCTCAAAAAGCAAAAAAAAAAAAGAGACGCCAAAGAGGCACTCCAGGTCCCAGTGCCAGGGTGGGCCAGAGAGGAGGGCCCTCACCTGGGCCTTCAGCACCGGAACGGTCTCCATCACAATCTTGTGCTGCTCGGCCTCCTCCTTCAGCTTATCAATCACCTCCTGTTTGGCCACCAGGGCCTCCTCGGCCTGCTGGAGCTGCTGCTTGAGATCTTCCAGCTGCATTCCCTAAAGACGGGCAAGGGGAGCTGACGGAGCCTCGTTGGCCCGGGGCGAGGCTGGCTGAGAAGAACTGAGAAGGACGAAAGAGTGGCCGTGGTTGACCAAGCTGGGTGATGCCAGCCCCTGATTTGAGGGCCCATTGCAGGATCTCAGCGTGCACAGGGAGAAGACTGCGTCCTGTCACGGCCCAAAACGACAGAGGAGGAGATGCTGAGGTTTTTTTCAGGACTGAAGAGGCCGCTGAGGTCATCTGGCACAACCTTCCAGCCAGGCCGACATTCCCTTCCCAGAACCCCCAGCTGCACAGCCTTCCTCCCACCCTTCATAGGACACAGGCCACACCCACTCACAGCGAGCCGGTCCTGTGCCCGCCACGTGCACAGCTAAGCTGAGAGTCCTCAGTCCTTCCACTCTGCCACCTGGTCAGAGGTGCACTCCTCCCACACAGGCATCCCCAGCTCCCTGAGACACACGCAGACACACCCCACCAACGCTTCCCTCCAGAAATTAAGTGGCCAGTTTTGTAGCTAACTCTTCCCCACGTGACCTGGCTTCAGGCTTTGTCCTTATAAATCTCCTCTGGGTACACTTACGATTGATGGTGTCCTGCTAAAACGTGATCGCTAGCAAACTGCACCCAGCTTAGGTCTGATGAGGACAAACTAGGAAAAGGCTCCCAACCAACACTGGGGTGGAAATGTTGCCGGGCTTACCTTGGCTTGGGGGAAGCTGAGCCAGGTGCCTAGATGGCGATGGCTGGCAAGAGGGAATGTCCATGGAGACAAGATATCCCCAGCCCCACAGAGGGAGCATCCCAAGGCTCTGGTCCAGCCCCCTATTATGGTGGCCTGCTCACACTCCTGAGAGCCACATCCCGGGGTTGCCATCTCCCCACAGCTTCCCTGAGCTGTCACAGCTGCAGCCTGATAAAGGTCTAAGGCAAGTCAAGCGTCCCTCCCAGAAGCCCATTCTCAAGGTTCAGGGAAGCGGGGAGAGGAAGAGACAAGGCCAGCCCTAGAGCCCCGGCAGCCGCACTTACTCGCTTCCGCTCGCTGCCCACCAGGCTGCTCTTGATGTGGTTGTCGTATTCTTGGAAGAGCTGGTGATAGGCCACCTGCAACTGGGCCAGCTTCCGCCTGAGGAAAAGGAGCTTTTGCTGGAGAAACCACCTCATCCCAGTCCAGTCACAGTTCCTGCCTGCTTCCAACTCTACCCGCTCCCTTCCCTCCCTCGCATCACAGGCCTGGAATGGGGTCTTCCAAGGCTGTGTGAGGACTCCTGAGGCTGTCAGCTCTAAAGCAGAACGCTGGACTGGTCACCAGGCAGTTAATGTCGTTTTCCTAAAAGCTAGTATTTTAAAATGTTTATAATAAAATCGCGGCCAGATGCGGTGGCTCACACCCGTAATCCCAACGTTTTGAGAAGCCAAGGCGGGAGGATCGCTTGAGCTCAGGAGTTCAAGACCAGCCTGGGCAACATGGGAAAACATTACCTCTACCAAAAATACAAAAATTAGCCAGGTGTGCTGGCCTGTGCCTATAGTCCCGGCTAGTTGGGAGGATCGCTTGAGCCCAAGAGGCAGAAGGTACAGTAAGCTGAGATAATGTGACTGCACTCCAGCCTGAACGATAGAGCAAGACCCTGTCTTGAAAATAACAATAGTAATAGTAATAATAATAATTAATAGTAATAATACAATGGAACTACCCTGCACTCTTCAAAACTGTGAACTTCACAAACAGCTCAGAAAGGCAGGGGAACTGTTCTAAAGGAGACTCAAAAGGCACGCCAAGGACAGGAACCTGAGGTCCCAGATTGGATGCCGGTAGAAGGGAGGCTTGGGGTATTTTTGTTGTCTTTCTGTTGCCCAGGCTGGTCTTGAACTCCTGGGCTTAAGCCATCCACCCACCTTGGCCTCCCAAAGTGTTTGGGATTACAGGCGTGAGCCACGGCACCCAGCCTAGATGGGGTTTTAAAGGACAAGTCCCCTGATGACCTAGTGGCTAGGAAAAAAAACTACAAAAAAGGCCACGTGTGGACAGGCAGTGAGACGTGGTCTGGATAGCAGAGGGCATGATTGTGTCAAAGACAAACCGGGTGTCATCATAGTCGCCTCTACTGTTAGCAAGGCTAAGGGACAGAATGGGCCCGCAGCCACAGACAGAATCTGAAGGACTCCTCAGAAGGCAGAACGAACCATGGACCCAACACTTCTCGGCCTTTTGGCTAAGATCAAGTGTAGAACCACAGACCCCGTGGTGCGGCCCCGCCCCGGCTGACTCACTTCTCCTCCGAGGCAGCCTGGCGCTCCATGCGGAGTGCGGCCTCCACGCTCTGGCCCTGCATGCGCAGCTGGTCCACCTGCACGCTGTGCTGCTGCTGCAGTGCCTCACGCTCACTCTCCAGCTGCCGCGCCTGCTCGCTGGCCGCCCGGGCCCTGGCACAGGGAAAGAGCAGACTCAGGGAGGACAAACGGGGAGAGGAGGGGCTATGCGCAGGGCATGGGCGGGGGGGTGGGGGTCGGCTCTGAACACTCTGTGACCGTGAGCTGAAGCCAGGCAGCAGGGTGGAGGCACCGTCACCAGACACAAGGACAACTGCAGGGGGCCAGGTGGGAGCAGCAGGTGAGGAGCTTTGCTTGAGACGTGTTTGCTTCAATGTAGGGGCCCAGCAGGTGACCAAGTACAGGGTCAAGATGCCAAGGAGACCTGGAAGCCAGGGGAAGGGGGTGGTCCGAGAAAAGGATGGGGTCACCTGCATCCCGCAGTGCTGGGGCCAGATGAGAGGAGCCCTTGGAACTGCCTGTGGAGTTCCAATGGGGGGTTGCTGGGGGCCCCAGCAAAAGAAGTCTCAGTGGAGGGGTCAGGAGAGACTGTTGTTCCAAAAGTGAGAGACTGCCCACCTGGGCGTGCAAGCACTGAGCTCAACGCCGACTAGGACTCGGCCCCATCCCTGGTGCTGCCCAGAGCTCTGCTGGAGTCCCAGACCACCTGCTCGGATGCTCAGTTCCCACACCTGCCCCCCTACAGCTCCCTTAACCTCCAGTTTCCAGGGTCTGGCCTCAGCCCACCACACAGCCTCACTGCAGGGATGATGGTGGGTGCTTCTGTGCAGGTCCTGGGTGCCCTCTGGCCACAGGCAGACACGGCCCTTCTCTAGTCACCCCAACTCTGCTTCTTGGCTCTCCCCTCCACGCCTGCCCGCATGCTGCCCCCACACCCTGCACGGGCTCCCTCTGCCCATCAGAGCCTGGGTCGAGCTCCCCTCCCCTCTGCCCTGCCGGCTGCCCCAAGTACACCCTGACCGCCTACTGTGCTGGGGTGGCCGGGGCCCCCCTGGCAGCTGATCCATCTGTCTGGAGGGCAGAAGCAGGGCCGAATGAGAACCACAGAAACCTCCCTGCCCTTTGACCCAATGGTCCCACTCACAAGAACCAAGACCCCTTTGCAAAAGAGAGTAACCAGCAGGCCTGAGGCCACTGGTTGGCAAGGTTGGCCCTTGGCTGGTAAAGTTCCCTTGACACAGTGACACTTTCCCTAGTGGTCAGGGCGGTCCCTGCACCTGCGCCATTTGTAGGAACAACGTGGTTGCCATGAGCACCCACTCTGTTGCTGGGAGTCGGAGATTTAGGTACCTGCCTGGCAGAGGGCGCTCACAGGACCTGTCCCCGGTAAACACCCAGGGCGCCAAGTGTCTAGTGGGCATCTCTGGGCAGGAACATGGCCCGTGTGGGAGGCGCGTCTCACTGTGCCGCTCGCAGGGCGGTGGGAGGCTGGGACAGGGCTTCTCCAACTCCCCCCGCGGCTCCTGCCCTGGCGGCTCCTGCCCTGTGCCCTTTTCCAAAACTGTCATCTACCTCAGCCACGCGGGCAACCGTGCACCGGTCCCAGAAGTCCTTCCAGAGAACTAGACACCGTGGGTGTGGGCTCAGGGCCCCCAAAATGCCTCCTAAGGAAATAATCAAAACTCCATCAAAGGGTCACAGAGTGCGGAGAGCTGGCTGGGACCCAGGTCCCGGATGCCTGGCCCAGACCTCTCCTGACACCTGCCCCAACGTGTTTACGCAGCCTGCCCCGGTCTAGCCTCATCAAGGAGCAGCCTGGAAGCCCCTAAACCCACCTCATGCTTTTGGAAACCCTGGAAGGGGTCTCCGGAGCTGGCTCCCACGACTCACCGACCCTCCAGAGTCTGGCATTCCTTAGTGGCAGCCTCCAGGCGACTCTGGCTCTCCTGCAGCTCCCCGAGCAAGGATGTCACCTGGGCTTTCACAGAGGCCTTGTCCTCAGCCATCTGCTGCAGGAGAAAAAGCCACTTCCTGTCAGCACTGCCTTCTCCCCAGCGGCCCACTCCTGCCATCCACAAGCCCCGGGGCAACCCGCAAGAGGCTGAGGCCTGCGCACCATGAGGCCTTTTTTCCTGCCCTCGGCACCCCCAAACCTGGGTGCCCTGGGGCCTCATGAGCCCAAGGGCCACCCAACCCTCCCCAGCTGCCCACCTTAACCCTCCGCCACAGGGTGAGACACACAGATGGGGCCAAAAGAGATCCCCAAAGAGACGAAGGAGCACAAAGCTGCCTTGAGGTTGTCAACGGCTTAGTCACTGCCCCGGCAAGCAGGCCTTGAGGGCTGAACCCGGTGGCCTTGCGGCTGCAGCCCCAGCAGGGGATCTCTCTCAGCCTCTCTGAGACTTGGGGCAAAAGGAGGTCAGGCACGAACAGGGCAAAGTAAACACAGGCCCCAGTCCACACCCGGGGCCGCTAGGATGGGAGAGTTTTTGCAAATCAAAGAGTGGACACTGAATTTTGTTAAACACTGGGAACTGCAGAACGTCTCGGCAGGCACGCTCCACTCAAACCCCTGCACGAAGACACCCGGCCACCACCTCACGGGGCCTCTGGGAGCCTAAGGCCGCGCCCCTGGGAGGCCCCGGCCCCCTTTTGAGTGAGTTCCCGTCTGGAAACGCTCAGGGCTGTCCAAAGCATTTACTGTCTGTTCCGGCCAACACCTGACCTCCCCTTCTTACAGCATTTACTAGCAAGGGCTTAGCCTGTCCCTTTGAGACATCTGTGTAGCACCCACAACCCAGGGTCTTTCCCGAGGGCCCCGCAGCCACTCCTTGGAAATGGAAACCTCAGGAGGCACGGGGCCCGGTCTCCCAGTCTCCACGGGAGGGAAGAATCCCAACCTTGGTAAGCACCGGCAGCTCCCACACACGGCTGGCCTCGTGGCACGGACGCTGGCTGCCCCGTCATCTTTCACCTGAGCCTCCACTCGCCCCCTCCCGACTCCCTCATCCTCCCTTCGCAAGGCCATGCCGCCTCTGCTGGGGCGGGAACGGAGCTCAGCTCTCTCCCCCGTGAGCGGGGGTTTCTGAAGAAAATCTCTTTTCCCAGCTTGAACAAAGGCCCGCTTTTGTGTATCTTTGTGTATCTCCGGTGTTCTTGTCAAAAGAGGAGGACAGGCACAGAGGCCCGCGGGGACAAGGCCACGGGATGACGGAGGCGGAGGCTGGAGAGGCGCCGCCGGGGGCCCCCAGCGCCGGGGAGAGGCCTGGAAGGCCGCTCCCTCATGTCCCTGGCCGGGAGCCCACCCTGGGGACACCACCGCTAGCTCAGCCTCCAGGCCTCCGGAACCGGGAGGCCACACGTTTCTGGGGCTTCGGCCTCGCTGAAGTCTGTGGTGCTTGGTCACGGCAGCTGTAGAAAACTCATCCACTTCCCACACAGGAAATCAACACCTTAAGCCAGGCGCTCCAAGCCCTGAGTGGAGTGGCGTGCACAGCCCACCATCCACGCCTTTTCCCAGGGGAGCGGAACCTGGCTGTGGCAAGTGCCAGGTACCCGCCAGCAAGTTTCCTCTCCACCACTTCTCCCCACCTTGCCCCTCAAAGGCAGCACAGCCCCTTCCTGACTAACATCGCCAGGATCCTGCAATCAGCCAAGCCCACACACAAAGGCCCTGAAACCAGGGGGTCTGTGCTAACCACACGATTTATGGGGGAGCCCTGGGCCACACAGCTGGACCTCTGGTGGCTGTAGCCCGAGTGACCAGGGTTGGCCACACAGGCGCTCCACGCCTACACAGCCCACCCCCCATGGAAACCCTGGCCGCCACGGCTGGGTGAGCTTCCCTAGTTATGACTCCACGCATGCTGCCCCCACACTGTTGCTGAAAGAAACAGGTGCTGTCGGCACAATACCTGTTGTGCCCTGGGCGAGGAGCCACTGAAGCTCACGCCTGGTCTCTCCTGGAGCCTGTCCTGTGCACCCTGAGCCTTCGCTCACCGTGACCTGTGTCCTTTCCTTGTAATAAACCGGAACTCAGAGTGTGACGGCTTTTCTGAGTTCTGAGCCCTCCCAGCACAGCCCTGAGCCCCAGGGTGCTTTGGGAGACCCCGACCACGAGTTCCCTCGTGGAACACTGGCGTCACCATGGGTTTTCAGAACCTGGCCCTGCCCCGGCTACCTGCTGGCATCTCTTCAGGTGCTCTACCTCCCGCAGAGCCTGCTCTTTCTGCCTCTTCAGGTCGAGCTTCTCCAGGCTGAGTCTCTCCACCAGTTTCCTGGCCTCTTGGAATTTGCACATGAGGAACTCCTTCTCCTCCCTCTGGCTGGCTTGGAAATGCAGAAGCTCCTCGCAGCGCTCTCGCAGCATCTGGTTGCTCTGCCGGATGGCATCTGGTGGCAGAGGGGATAGTGGAGGGGAGCTGGGCAGCCCGGCCTGCTGGGCCCTGCCTGGGCCCACATGGGCCTGAGGCTCAGGAAGTCAGAGGCTAGAAGTGGGGCCACCCATCCTGGTGCCCCTCCCCCCCATAATACCAATGCAGCTTCTCTCAGGGGTGGATGGCGTCTCAACACTCCCTTTTGTTTCTTTAAACACTTCCAAAATCCATTACACAAATGCCCCTCACTTTCTACAAGAAAACAATACCAAACACATCAGCTTCACTTAATAGCATGTGTCGGCCAGGCACAGTGGTTCATGCCTGTAATCCCAGCACTTTGGGAGGCTGAGGTGGGTGGATCACCTGAGGTCAGGAGCTACAGACCAGCTTGACCAACATGGTGAAACCTCGTCTGTAATAAAAATACAAAAATTAGCTGGGCGTGGTGGCGCACACCTGTAATCCCAGCTACTTGGGAGGCTAAGGCAGGAGAATCACTTGAACCTGGGAGGTGGAGGTTGCAGTGAGCCGAGATCACACCATTACACTCCAGCCTGGGGAACAGAGTGAAACTATCTCAATTTAAAAAAAAAAAAAGTGTATGGCCGGGCGCGGTGGCTCAAGCCTGTAATCCCAGCACTTTGGGAGGCCGAGACGGGCGGATCACGAGGTCAGGAGATCAAGACCATCCTGGCTAACACAGTGAAACCCCGTCTCTACTAAAAATACAAAAAACTTAGCCGGGCGAGGTGGCAGGCGCCTGTAGTCCCAGCAACTCGGGAGGCTGAGGCAGGAGAATGGCGTAAACCCGGGAGGCGGAGCTTGCGGTGAGCTGAGATCCGGCCACTGCACTCCAGCCTGGGTGACAGAGCGAGACTCCGTCTCAAAAAAAAAAAAAAAAAAAAAAAAAAAAAAAAAAAGTGTCAAATGCCACTTTTTTGAATTTTTACTTTTGTAGAGGCAAGATCTTGCTATGTTGTCCAGGCTGGTCTCACATTCTTGGTCTCAAGTGATCCTCCCACCTCGGCCTCCCAACGTGCTGGGATTATAGGCATGAGCCACTGTGCCTGGCCTTATGCCACTTTCTTTGTAAGTGACTCGAATTCATTTGTATTCTGGTCAGTCTGAGGTGTGCCTGCCCTCAGATGCTCGGTAGTGGTCCTTCCTGGCCTACATCTCTGCTGTCTTCTGGATCAGGGGGTCCTAATACGCCTGCAGACTCCCAGGGTCAGCCTCCCAGGCAAACGTCACTGCAGCATTGATGGCTGCAGCCTGAGAGGCCCAGAAGTCTTGGACCAGGCAAGTTAGTGGTGTCTCTGAGACTCAAAGTCCTCATCTGCATAGTGAACAGAGACAACAACATTCATCTTACAAGACGAGGAGGGTTAAACGAGAAAGCAGAAAACAAACAGGAAAAACCGCTGGTCCTCCCCTCACCAGAGCATATGCCATTGCCAGGCAGTCAGCAGAGGCCACAGGAAGGAGAGCCCCGCACCCAGGAGACACCCCAAGCAGTGAAGGAGCCATCTGAGGTGACAAAACTGATAAGTGATATGCCAAGGTTCTAGCAACTTTATAGCAACTACAGAGCTGGATAAAATGGGGAAGGCAGTAGCTACCCCGTGATCAAAACCCTCAACCAACTAACTGTTGCTTGCTGATGAGCACAACATCCAACCCCCATTAGAATCCCACTGGCTCTGCCCAAAGCTCAGCTCATCTGCAACTTGTCTTTTTTTTTGAGACAGAGTCTCACTCTGTCGCCCAGGCTGGAGTGCAGTGGTGCGATCTCGGCTGACTGCGACCTCCACCTCCCAGATTCAAGCAATTCTCCCTGCCTCAGCCTCCCAAGTAGCTGGGATTACAGGTGTCTGCCACCACATCCGGCTAATTTTTGTAGTAGAGATGGGGTTTCACCATGTTGGCCAAACTGGTCTCAAACTCCTGAGCTCAGGTGATACCCCCGCCTCGGCCTCCCAAAGTGCTGGGATTACAGGCATGAGCCACTGCACCTGGCTGGCAACTTGTCTTTTAAAAAATGTTTTGAACTGAGGTAAAATTCACATGACATCAAATTCACCATTTTAACTAATTCAGCAGTTTTCAGCATGTCCATCAGGTTGCGCAACCATCCGCACTATCTAATTCCAGAACAGTTCCGGGACCCCATTAGCAGTCACTCCCCAGGCCCCTCCTCATCTGCATCTGCCTCTGCAGATTGGCCTCTTCTGGACATGTCTCATAAGTGGAGTCACACACTAGAGACATGCAATTTCTTCTGTGAATCTCCCCCTAAACATTCTAAATACAGCTTCCTCCATAAACATAAGCATGTACATCTTGCGGGACAGACATCTTTTGGGCCCTTGGGGGCTTGGCCCAGGGCCTGACACAAGTTTCACTTGCCACCCACAAAGCTCAGGTCAGGCAGAGCAAGGGGAGTCAATACAGCCTTGAGGCCTCCCTGTGCCCCTGAAGCCCGGGGGAAGCTGCTGCGCTGAACACACAGCCTGGAAGGGAAGCACGGCTGGCCTGCAACACTCACCCTCAATTCCCCCTCAACAGAGCACTCTCCTGGGGATGAGCAGAGGCCCTCAGTCTAGCTGTCACCTCTCTGTGCACCAGTGCTCTGAAGATCTCAATACAGTGGGTCTCACCAGGGACAACTGTATCCGCCCAGGGGTCATTCTGCAATAAATATCTGGGGATATTGTTAGCTGACACAACAGGACAGGTGCTACTGGCATCTAGCAGGTACACGCCAGGGACTCTGCTCCACAACCCACAATGCACAAGAGAATTCTCCAGCTCCAGGTGCCGATAGCACTGAGGTGGGGGACCCTGTCCTGGGGCAGGCAGGTTGTGTTGGGTCTCCGTGCTCCAGCAGGGCCTCTTCAATTCAGCTTCGCTGTCGAGCAGACCAAGCAGCCCCTTGACAGCAAGCTGACTGCACTGACCCCTTCCTCCATGGAAGGAAAGGTGATTTGCCGTGACAGGAAGAGGAGACACATCCAGGCATGGGTCTTGTCCCTTCCCACAGGGTGTTAGCCAGAGCCACTCTCTGAAGCCTACAGAGTATGTGACTTGTCAGCACAGAGCCCCACATAACATCTTGGACCACAGTCCAGCAAACAAGGCAGGAGAGTGGGCCCATGATAGCGGCCTCTACTAGTCACAGCACATGCCACCTCGCCCAGGAGCTGCCAGCCAGCCAGCCAGGACACGGAGAGCCAACTGAAGACACAACTGAGGTGCCAGCTCAGGGATGACTCCCGCAAGGAAGGGGTGTTGTCCTCCACGATGGGGTGGACACTTTGGCCTGAGTCCCCAGCAGGAACCAAAGGGTGAAGCAAAAGGGGCTACAGGCCGCACCACACACAATGAGCCACGTGGGGAGGCTGTGCCGCCCCTCCCTGCAGCTCTGGGACCGGCGGTTTAGAAGGCCGCCGCAGCAGAAAGGCAAGAGTGTATGGTGGTGAGCCACCTGGCACCCCTGGGCTAACCCAGGGCAATGCAGAGCAATGGTGGGGAGAGGAGGCGAGGGGGAAGAATGGCAGGGGCTGGGGGTGCCATCACGCCCAGGGCGCGGGCAGGAGCGTGCAGCTGAGCCCTGAACCCACGACGACCTGGAGCTGAGCAGCACCGAGGGTGAGGGGCGCCCAGATGGCAGCCTAGGAGAGAACTCCCCAGTCCCAGCCGCTGAATGTGGGAAGTCAGCCTTCACCTCCGCTGAGGTGTGCGCAGGGACTGCCCCAGAGGAATGTTGCCTGTGGGGGCCGCACACCTTCCTTCCCAAGACAGACCACGCCCCTCTACCAGGGCATGCCCCGCCCATTTCCAGGACAGGCCCACCCCCTCTCTGGGCAGACCACGCCTCTTCCCAGGGCCGACTCTGCCCTGTCCCAGGATGGACAGTACTTCACGAGTGCTCAGTGCAGGGACACAGAGGCCTGGACATGTTGGTCCAACCTGGAAGGTTCATTCCAGCTCCAGAGCTCCCTGTAAGGTCCAACAAGGCTGTCCTGGAGCCTACCCGGCAGCGTGCTTCTCCCTCTGCCCACCCCGGCTTCTTCCACTGTCCCTCCTTTCCCTTCCCAGTACTGGTCCTGAGAGCACTCTAAACTTCCTCCCTGCTAATCTGCATCTCAGAGTCTACTTCCTGAAACCAAGAGGGAAGGCAGCACATCCCCACCCCAGGCCCAGGAAACACAGAGGTGCAGGTGGGGAGAAGATGCCTTCCCCTCAGCAGGGTCGGATCCCCTGACTCTTTCCTCACCTCGGAGCTCTTGATTCTCCTCCAGGCAGCGCTGGAGAGTCTCAGGAGTGCCCTGCTCTGAAGGCAGGTGCAGCATGGCTGGCTTCCCCAGAGGAGACTCTTCACCCAGCACGTCCTGATCTGCTGCCGGGCCACCACTGGGCTGCACCATCTCACACAGTTGGCTCTTCCAGAGGTGCCTGCTCATCCAACAGGGCAGGGGCTGAAAGAGAAAGGCAGCAGGGGAGTCACAGGAGACCCACATCCTTACCCACCAGAACGAGCCTATGAGTTCTGGGGCTACATTTTAAACAGAATGCTGATAATTCGCCTAGTGTATCAGGATGCTAAAGTGGGTTTTCAGTCTAAGGGGCAGCAGATACTCCCATTCCAAAGGGAGGTGCTGTACCACCCATGTGGGACTTGGAAAGGCCTATCTCCAGGCTGGAAACAGATGAATTTCACCAGAGGTGGGAGAGTCACAAGAGGACTGTTTGTGGAGGGAGATGTCAGTATGCTGGGAATCCTGACTCCCTACACACCTCCAAGCAGGAGAAGTGGAGGGTACTGGCCCCTCATCCAGTGTAGTAGGCTGAATGGTAGCCCCGCGAAAAGACATGCCCATGGTCCGACCCCTGGAACATATAAATGTGATTTAGGAAAAGGGTCTTTGAAGACGTAGGATCTCACGATGAGATCATTCTGGGTGACGTGGTTGGGCCCTAAATCCAACAACCAGTGTCTTTATGAGAGACAGAAGAGAGAAGCCAGAGGGAGATGCAAGGGGAGGAGGCCATGTCGGGACTGCCTCGGAGACTGGAGTGAAGCAGCCACAAGCCCAGGAATAAATGGGGCCATCAGAAGCTTGGGAGAGTCAAGGGAGGATCGCCCTCTTAGAGCCTTTGAGGGTGTGGGCTTGCTAACCCTTTGGTTTTGGACTTCTAGTCTCCAGAACTGTGAGATTAAAATGTCTGGCAGGGCGCGGTGGCTCATGCCTGTAATCCCAGCACTTTGGGAGGCCGAGGCAGGCCGATCGCAAGGTCAGGAGATAGACACCATCCTGGCTAACATGGTGAAACCCTGCCTCTACTAAAAAAAAAAAAAAAAAAAAATTGCCGGGCACGGTGGCTCACGCCTGTAATCCTAGCACTTTGGGAGGCCGAGGCAGGCAGATCATGAGGTCAGGAGATCGAGATCATCCTGGCTAACACGGTGAAACCCTGTCTCTACTAAAAATATAAAAAATTAGCCAGGCGTGGAGGCGGGCGCCTGCAGCCCCAGCTACTCGGGAGGCTAAGGCAGGACAATGGCGTGAACCCGGGAGGCGGAGCTGGCAGTGAGCCGAGATTGTGCCACTGCACTCCAGCCTAGGCGACAAAGCAAGACTCCGTCTCAAAAAAAAAAAAAAAAAAAAAAATTAGCAGGGTGTGGTGACATGACACGCGCCTGTAGTCCCAGCTACTCGGGAGGCCAAAGCAGGAGAATTGCTTGAACCCAGGAGGTGGAGGTTGCAGTGAGCTGAGATTGCGCCACTGCACTCCACCCTTGGCTTCCAGAACAGCCCCTTCTCCTGGTTTCCTCCCTATCTTGCTGGCTACTCCTGCCCAGGCACTCTCACTGGGTTCCCACCCTTCATGTTGGGGTGCCCCAGGGCTCTGTCCTAGGACGTCTTCTCCTCTGTAACTACATTCGCTCCCGCAGGAATTCTATCCAGTCTCATGCCTTGAACTCCAATCTTGATGCTTAATTAGACCTCTTTTCTAAACTCCACATTCATTTATCAATCTCAACATTTCTCCTTGGTTATCTAGTAGTCCTCTCAAAACGAACCTCTCTAAGACCCCCGACAGTCCCCAAAACTCAGATCTACCCAAGGCCGCCTCTGTTATCAGCTGATGGCAAATCCATCCTCCAGCTGTCAAGTCTTTTTTGATTCTCTCTCTCTCTCTCTCTCCTCTCTCTCTCTCTCTGTCACACACACACACACACACACACACACACACAGACACACACACACACAAAGAGCACATCTAATCCATCAGGAAATCCTGTCAAAATGTATCCCCCGACCCATCTGATCACACTAAGCAATTAACATTAACTATTTTAGGTGTCATAATGATATTGTGGTTGTTTTTCAGAGTCCTGTCTTAGAGAGAGGCACACTTAAATATTTAAAGATGATGTCTGAATTCACCTCCAAATAATGGGAAAACTCCTAGGTATATACCCGAGAGAAATGAAAACACATGTCTCCACATGAATGCTTGTAGCAGCATTACTCATAGCAGCCAGAGAGTAGAAACAACCCAAATGTCCACCAACTATGAATAAACAAAATCTAGTACATCCACATGCTATAACATGAACAAATCTTGCAAATATGCTAAGAGAAATAAACAAGTCACAAAAAACTAAACACTGTATGATTCTATTTATATGAGATGTTTATAACAAGCAAATCCATAGAGACATAAAGTGGATTAATGGTTACTGGGGAGAGCCATTTAGGGCTGGGGGGAAGATAAGCTGAGCTAAAGGGTATGGGGTCTCTTTGGGGAGGTGATGAAAATGTTCTGTGAATACACATACCACAAACCATTGAATTGTACACTTTAAATTGATGAACTGTGTGACATGCTAATGATATCTCAAGCTGTTATTGAAAATAATAATGGTGGCCAGGCATGGTGGTTCACACCTGTAATCCCAGCACTTTGGGAGGTCATGGCGGGTGGATCACTTGAGGTCAGGAGTTCGAGACCAGCCTGGCCAACATGGCGAAACCCTGTATTTACTAAAAATACAAAAAAAAAAAGAAAAAAAAAAATAGGTGGGAGTGATGGTGCATGCCTGTAATCCCAGCTACTTGGGAGTCTGAGGCAGGAGAATCGCTTGAACCTGGGACATGGAGGTTGCAGTGAGCCAAGATTATGCCACTGCACTCCAGCCTGGGTGACAGAGTGAGACTGGGTCTCAAAAAAAAAAAAAAAAAAAAAGAGGCCGGGCACGGTGGCTCATGCCTGTAATCCCAGCACTTTGGGAGGCCAAGGCAGGCAGATGACAAGGTCAAGAGATCAAGACCATCCTGGCCAACATGATGAAACCCCATCTCTACTAAAACTACAAAAATTAGCTGGGCGTGGCGGTGCACGCCTGTAGTCCCAGCTATGTGGGAGGCTGAGGCAGGAGAATCGCTTGAACCCAGGAGACGGAGGTTGCAGTGGGTGGAGATCACACCACTGCACTCCAGCCTGGCTACGGAGGGAGAATCTGTCTCAAAAAAAAAAAAAAAAAAAAGAAAGAAAAGAAAAAGAAAAAAATAATAACGGGAGAGAATTGCGAGGGGTATAAACAAAATTAGTCACAAGTTGATAACTTCAATTGTTGAAGTTGGGAGCTGTGAATGTAAGATTTACTATACTGGCCGAGCACAGTGGCTCACACCTGTAATCCCAGCACTTTGGGAGGCTGAGGCAGGCAGATCACCTGAGGTCAGGAGTTCAAGACCACACTGGCCAACATACAGTGAAACCCCGTCTCTACCAAAAATACAAAAAATAGCTGGGCGTAGTGGCGCATGCCTGCAGTCCCAGCTACTTGGGAAGCTGAGGCAGAAGAATCGCTTGAACCCAGGAGGAGGAGGTTACAGTGAGCTGAGATCGTGCCACTGCACTCAAGCCTGGGCGACACAGCGAGACTCCATCTCTCAAAAACAAACAAACTAAAAAGATTTACTATACTAATTTTTCTACTTGTGTACATTTTTGAAATTTTCAATAATAAGATGCTCAAAGCACTGTCTCTTAGCTGGATTACTGCAATTACCTCTTAATAGGTCGCCCTTCTTTTACCCTTGCCCACTATGGTCTGTTCTCCCCACCACTGCTAGAACGATCAGTGTAAGACGTAATTCCGATCACATTCTTTCTCTACTGAGAACCCTACCATGGCTCCCCGTTGCCTTCTGCGTAAAAGTCAACCTCCCTACAACGGCCTACAAGGCCCTGTACCATCGGGTACCCCATCCCTTCCTCTCCAACTATGCTCCCCTCCCTCACTCTGCTCCAGCTATAGTGACCTCCGTGCTATTCCTCTAATGTGCCAGGACAGCCCATTCATTCTCAGATCACAGAAACAGTATGAGAACAGGCAGATGTTGTCTTGCAAAACGAGAAAACAGGCACATGAGATCAGATACCTAGCTGCCAAACTATATTTGAGGCATTTTCGAAGAATTTAACGACCCTGATCGAGCGCAGTCAACTTTGGAGAACAGAAAATGTCTCTGAACTAGAGAAGTCCTCGCACAAGGAGTAGGGTCAGACCCCGCAGTGGAAGAGAAGGGAGGAGCAGAAACCAGTCCAGCTCGCCGCCCAAGTAACCTGGGTCCTGAATCGGCCCGCCTTGGCCAGTGCTCCAGAAGCGCGCGGCAGGAACGGGCTGGGGCCCAAGACAGATGGGGGAGCCTGAACGTCCGGGGGAGTCTCGGAAGCGGCGGAACACCCACCGATGGAACCCTGTCTTTAGGGAAAAGGACCACACCTGTCAGCAGAGTCGGTCAGACGTGAGAAGGGTGGGAGCGGCGGACTGTGAACGCAGGTAGGGCCCCGGCGCTCCGAGAAAGTTCCAGTTCCGCGGTCGCCCTTTCCTTCTCCGCTGTCGAAAGCCCCGCTTCCGGCTTCCGGTGTCATAGCTGTGGGATCCGGAAGTAAAAACATACAAGCCCCGCCCCGGGAACACGGGAAGCCGGCGAGAAGTGCGAGGTCGCGGTAAGGCCGCATCCCGCTCCGGAGAGAAGTCTGAGTCAGCCAGGCTCTGCAGGCCCGCGGAAGCTCGGTAATGATAAGCACACCGGCCACTTTGCAGGGCGTCACGGCCTACACGCCCCCTCGTCTCTCGGACGGCGGCGTCTAGCCTCGGGGCGCTCGGCCGCCCCGCCCTCTCCGGGGGAGGAGTCAAGAAGAGACTGCCCAATAGGGCCGGCTTGAACCGCGAACGGGCGAGGGTTCCCGGGGGAGCGGCGCGCCAGAAGGCCCCGCCCAGGAGCCGAGGGACAGCCCAGAGGAGGCGTGGCCACGCTGCCGGCGGAAGCGGAGCCCTCCGCGAGTGCGGGAGGCCGCCGAGGCAGGCGGGAAAACCGGACAGTAGGGGCGGGGCCTGGCCTGGGCGGCGATGGGGATGCGGGAGCACTACGCGGAGCTGCACCCGTGCCCGCCGGACACTGGGGATGCGGAGCAGCGGCAGCGGGTATGGCAGGCAGCCGGCGGGCCGGCCTCCAGCGCAGGTGCCCGAGGGGCGGGGCTGGCCTGGGATGCGCGCGCACCTGCCCTGTCGCCGCCCCGCCCGCACGAGGGATGGCGGTCGAGGCCCCGCCCCGCACGCCTCGCCTGAGGCGGGTCAGCTCAGCCCAGGCGCCCGCCCCCGCCCCCGCAGATTAAATGGGCCGGCGGGGCTCAGCCCCCGGAAACGGCCGTACACTTCGGGGCTGCGAGCGCGGAGGGCGGCGGCGACGAAGCGCAGGTAACCGGGCGGGCGGGCGCCGCGCAGCCGGAGGAGCGTACTGCCCGGCGCTGCGCCGCGCGGCGGTAAAACACACGCTGTTTGTTCGAGAGGGTCTTAATCCGTTTATACCCCGCACCTCCTCTCTTGAGCCCCTGAGACCCCGAGAGCGAAGGGGACTTGCCGGCCGGGGTCTCCCAGCTTGGCAAGGGGAGGGCTGGAGCTGAACTCCGGCATCTGCATCATGTCCCTTGGTCCAGGTCATTGTGGAGTTCCCGCTACAGTCGGGAATGAATGGTCCTGGGCGCATAATTCCGTGCCCCACAAGGATTTTACTTGGTTGTCCAGAATTTATGCTCTAGCCGGAATCCACCAATGCTTTGGGTAATTTTGTAATGTACACCCTGAATGAAGGTTGCCTGGGAGAGTGTGGCTGGAGCCCAGAGCCAGCAGTTTCTAACCCATCAAGCACTCCCCAATGCCCAGCCGTTCACAAGGAGTGGCTTGGGTGATCAGGTGTCATCCCGGTGAGACCCCAGAGGAACTCTCAAGAAAAGGGCTAACTTCTCAATGCTCTCCTGTTCTTCTGCCTTGTTAACGAGCCTCTCTTCTACCAGACAGCGTCATGGCAGAGCAGGTGGCCCTGAGCCGGACCCAGGTGTGCGGGATCCTGCGGGAAGAGCTGTTCCAGGGCGATGCCTTCCATCAGTCGGATACACACATATTCATCATCATGGGTGCATCGGTGAGTCTCTCCCAGGCCCCAGTCTTGAAAGCCAGGAAGTGCCTGCTCCATGCCTCAGCTTTTCCAACTAATTGTTGCAGGACCACACAGGCTCTGCTAAGTTGAGCTCCTCCTCCCGCTCCTGCTAGTGTGCCAGGATCATCCCAGCTCTACCTGATGTGCATGTGCACTTGCAAGACATTTCTTTTTTTTTTTGGAGACGGAGATTGGCTCTGGTCGCTCAGGATGGAGTGCAGTAGCCCAATACTGGCTCACTGCAACCTCGGCCTCCTGTATTCAAGCGATTCTCCTGCCTCAGCCCCCCGAACAGCTGAGATTACAAGCATGCACCACCACACCCGGCTAATTTTTGTATTGTTAGTAGAGACAGGGTTTCACCATGTTGGTCAGGCTGGTCTCAAACTCCTGACCTTAAGTGATCCGCCCGCCTCGGCCTCCAAAAGTGCTGGGATTACAGGTGTGAGCCACTGCACCTGGCCACAGGACATTTCCGAACCCTGTGCCTAGCCTCTGAATGTAGCCCTTAGTCCTGGAGTTGCAGGCTCTTTAGGGACTGTCTAGATGGACTTCTTGGGGAAAACAGGGAATGCTATTCATTCTGTGGTTTATTTCAAACCTCTTCATGCCTTAACAAGTGAGTTCCAAAGGCAGGATCTGAGGCCTGATCTCTGCCTCTTCACTAACACTTCAAGTTCTGTCAATACAAACACTCAACCTTTCTTTAAACACTATCTCTTTGCCTCAGTTTCAAAAGCCTACCAAGAAGCTCTGCCTCACCCCACCTGGCCCCAATTGTCCAGCTTGTGGAACCGCCATTTTGCACTCATAGGAAAGACCAAAGAATAGTATAGCATGAGGATTTCCGTGGGAGGGGAAGGAGGGGTGGTCCTAGGACAACCATCACCCCAGACTAGAGCACCCTCCCCTGTGTCCCATGGGGCAGTGAGACTATGCAGGGGCTGGTGGAACAAGGGCTTCATCTCAAATTACACGTGGTCTCAGTTTTCACTTTTAACCCTGGATGCACTCAAGAATCTGTCTGCTCACTACTGTATGACCACCTTTGCCATTAACTTACCTTGTAACTTGAGAAGGAGCTCTGTCAAAACTAGTTAGCTCTGCCACATTGTGCGCCCCTCAGTGCTGGATGAGCTCAGTGGTTCTTTGTTCACATAGACAACGCGTTGTCACACTTTGCCAAACCTACTCCTTGACACCTTTGTACTTCTGATCAGAACTTAGAAAAGGAGAGCCAAAAAGGAATGAGGCAGCCGAGGGAGAAGGGCTCTGCCAGTGGGAGAGTAAGGAGGGGCCGTTGTCTTTTGACTCCCCGTAAGCCTGAGACCCGGGAGAGGTACCCAGGTGGAGCCCACAGTAGATTGGACTTGGCCTTATCCCCAGCCTCAGCCTGGTCCCCTCAGAAGAGCCATACCTGGCCGGGCATGGTGGCTCACGCCTGCAATCCCAGCACTTTGGGAGGCCGAGGCAGGTGGATCACCTGAGGTCAGGAGTTTGAGACCAGCCTGGCCAACATGGCAAAACCCAGTCTCTACTAAAAATACAAAAATTGGCCAGGTGCGGTGGCTCACGTCTGTAATCCCAGCATTTTGGGAGGGCAAGGCAGGCGGATCACAAGGTCAAGAGATCGAGACCATCCTGGTCAAGATGGTGAAACCCCATCTCTACTAAAAATACAAAAATTAGCTGGGCGTGGTGGTACGTGCCTGTAGTCCCAGCTACTCAGTAGGCTGAGGCAGTAGAATCGCTTGAATCAGGGAGTCAGAGGTTGCAGTGAGCTGAGATCGTGCCACTGCACTCCAGCCTGGCTACAGGGCGAGACTCTATCTCAAAACAAAAAGAAAAAGGCTGGGCGCAGTGGCTCACGCCTGTAACCCCAGCACTTTGGGAGGCCAAGGCAGGTGGATCACGAGGTCAGGAGATGGAGACCATCCTGGCTAACACGGTGAAATCCCGTCTCTACTAAATATACAAAAAATTAGCCGGGCGTGGTGGCGGGCGCCTGTAGTCCCAACTATTCGGGAGGCTGAGGCAGGAGAATGGCGTGAACCCAGGGGGCAGAGCTTGCAGTGAGCAGAGATCGCACCACTGCGCTCCAGCCTGGGTAACAGAGTGTGACTCTGTCTCAAAAAAAAAAAAAAAAGAAAAATAACAAAAATTAGCTAGGTGTGGTGGCACCCATCTGTAATCCCAACTACTTGGGAGGCTGAGGCAGGAAAATCGCTTGAACCCGGGAGGTGGAGTTTACAGTGAGCCGAGATGGCGCCACTGCACTCCATCCTGGGCGACCGAGTGAGTGAGACTCCATCTCAAAAAAATAAATAAATAAAAAGAGCCATACCTTCATCGGCCACAAACCTTAACAGCTAGGACTCTGACTGTTAAGCCCTTAGTCCAAGAAGCAGACTGGAGGAGAAGGTAACTGAGGTTGCTTTCTCCTCCTTTCCCCGTCCCCACCCCATGCTGCCACAGGGACACTGCAACAGAGCAACTCAGACCGTAATGATGGCTTATGACTCCAGGCCTTCAGCTCTTATTAGACACCTCATTGAGAGCATGCAAGCTTGCTGTGTGACTTGGAGCAAGTGTTTTCCTTTCCCTGAACCTCAGCATTTCGTATAGCAAATGACAGCTTTTGAAAAGAGTGCCCAGGGTCCTTAGGCTTTTCCAAGCTGATTGTGTCATTTCACTGCCTTCGCCTGTGGCCAGCTTGGGGTTGGGCAACTTTGTTTTGTTGAAATCAGTAGGGTTCCCCTTTGCTCTCTTCTGCTCTGAGAGTGACAACCTGAGGCTTTCAAAGCAGAAATAGGAAGTGCCAGCTCCAGCACTGTGGGTAGGGGACAAGGGGTCCTGTCTCTGAAGAGCCTCGTGGTTTGTTTCTTCCTCTTCCTGCTGGAGGGGGAGGTGGGAGGTGGTGTGCTCAGGCAGCACCTGGAACAGCTCCCGCTCCCAGGCTCCTTCTGCTCTTGATGCCTCACTCAATGTGGGAGGTAGGCAGGGTGGCACTTGAGGGCACACGATCCTAGAATGTGCTGCTCCAGGAAAGCAGCCCATTCTCCATTCATTCAGCAGACAGCGATTGGGTACTTCTGGGCCACAACAGCCAGTCCCTGCCCTCCTCATGGGACCTATGTGTTATTGTGGCCAGGAAACTATGGCAAGTAAGCAGACGAGCAAGAGCACAGGCTGGCGTGTGTTTCAGAAGATACACGTGGGCCGTGTGTCCCCAGCCCCCCAGAGCACGTAGATCCCACGAGGAGGGCCTGGAGAGCACCCACACAGAAGGAAGAGCAAATGCCCGGAGCCCCAAGTTGGGAACAAGCTCAGCATGACCTAGAAACTGAAAGCAGGCAAGTGGCTGGCAGACCCACAGCCTGGGCAAGCGGGACACCCTGGGGCAGGCTGGACCCACGTGGCCTTCCTCTGTCCCTTCCTCCTCCCTGGCCAGCTTACCTCACACTTGCGCACACACCCAGCTTCCTTCCTGGGGGCCCTGATGGCACCTCAGAGTTACCAAGTGGGCCACTTCCCGCCTTCTCAGGACTCCCACCCCTACCAGAAAGAGAGCCGAGGTACTTACTGCCCCCTTCCAGAAAGCTCTGGCCTTGTAGACCAGTGTGCACCTGGAACAGCATCTTTCCCCACCTGATGGGACCTCGATGAGGCCGGAGAGCCTCACAGGGAGTGAGGGGAAGAGACTGGGACTGAGAGTCTGCAGGGTATTCACCTCTCTGGGCCTTAGTTTCCTCACCTGGATCACAAGGGCCATGGGCTTGGGCTTGATGGGCGTTCAGGACGCATCCCAATGATGAGCCTGTGTGAGGGATGACCCAGCGGCCCCCGCCCCCACTTTCCTCGGAACTTTTCTGGGCTGACTTCCCCTTACTCCATATAGAAAAATCAACTCAAGATGAATTGAAGACTCCAAAACTATAAAAACCCTGGAAGATAACCTAGGAAATACCATTTTGGACATAGGACCAGGCAAAGATTTCATGACAAAGACACAATTCCAACAAAAACATAAATTCACATATAGGACGTAATTAAACTAAACAGCTTCTGCACAGCAAAAGAAACTATCAACAAAGTAAACCGACAACCTACAGAATGGGAGAGCATATTTGCAAACTGTGTATCTGACAAAAGTCTCATGTCCAGAATCTATAAGGAACTTAAATAAATATGCAAGCAAAAGACAAACAACTCCATTTAAAAGTGGGGAAAGGAAACGAACAGACACTTTTCAAAAGAAGAGACACACAGCTAACAAGCACATGAAAAAATGCTCCATATCACTAATCATTAGAGAAATGAAATCAAAACCACAATGAGAAGACAAGAATGGACCAAGATGGTGGAATAGAAGACTCCGCCGTTCATTCCCCTCACAAGGTCACCAATTCAACAACTATGTACGCACACAAAAGAAAACACCTTTGTAAGAATCAAAAATCAGGTGAGCACTTACAGTACCTGGTTTTAACTTCATAGTGCTAAAAAGGGCACTGAGGAAGTAGGACCCCTCACTGATCCCCCAGCTGTGGCAGCGTGGTAAAGAGACCATTTCTGTGCGCTAAGGAGAGGGAAAGCCAGCAATAGCAGAAAGTAAAATCAGACCAAATTTACTTGAGCCTGACCAACATAGAGAAACCTCGTCTCTGGTTAAAAAAAAAAAAAAAAAAGCTGGGCGTAGTGGCACATGCCTGTAATCCCAGTTACTTAGGAGGCTGAGGCAGGAGAATCGCTTGAACCTGGGAGGCGGAGGTTGCAGTGAGCCGAGATCGTGCCATTGCACTCTAGACTGGGCAACAAGAGCAAAACTCTGTCAGGAAGAAAGACAGGAAAGAAAGAAAGAAAGGAGGGAGGGAGGGAAGGAGGAAGGAAAAGAAACAAGGCAATTTTAACCTCAGGAAGGAAAAAAAGCCTCAGAAATAAATAGAATCTAACAGAACCATAAGTGGGAGAATGAGGAGGGGAAG